AACTGAAAATATGGATGGAGGACAACAGAGCTGCTTCATGGAAGAAGAACCTCAGCTTAGCCTGTTAGCTTTAGCGTTAGCCCCGACGCTATCACCATACATATGTATTAGCTCAGCGCTATACATTCTCCTCTCGTCACTGAGGTCCTCCTCACATGACAGAGAGGGGAACGCAAAAATGACTCAGCCTGCAACTGAAAATATAGATGGAGGACCTCAGTTTAGCTTGTTAGTTTGTCGCGCTAGCACCGAGCTAATACATATTAGGCAACATAGCATCGGTGCTAGCGCAAAGGCTATGTTCAATTAAAGTCTTATGTTACAACTAATCGTGGATCTCTTTAATAATCCATATGAAAACTGAAACACAGATTTTTATTGTCTTTGAATTAGTCAGGTTTACTATTTCATTTTCACTTTCACTTTGGTCAGTTTAATAGCATTTATTCTTAAAATTTGGTTTTTCTCATTATGCTTCATATTAGTGGAAGTGCATTAAATTAGTAACAAATTTAAATGACATAAATTACAAAATTTTATTGTATTTTGACTCAGAACTTCATACTTTAATGAACATATTCATATCTTTGAATATCAAAAGACTCCAAGGCATTGCCTCCTTAAAATAATTGAAATGACTTTTTATGTTTAGTTTTCCAGCCTTCTAGAAGTCAAATGTGTTTTCTGAGATATGACAAACTTCTTTATTTTCTATGCAAAATCAGAAAATTTTCCAGCATTTCATCTACTACTTAAAGACACAAACATGAACGAAACAGTGTGTGTTATATAGTAATTTAACAGCAAATGTAGCCTAAATTAGATCAAAGTGAGCTAATTTCCTCACATTTTGTAAAGTTTTTAATAAAGCAAGCRCACAAAAAGTTTTTAAAATCTATCTTGGGATACAAAATCTAACCTGCTTAAGAAAAGGATCAATAAATGTAAATGTCAACAATCTCAGTGATGAATTATTCACATTTGCACTYGGACTGTTTAAAAGCCAAGGAGAAAGTAGACACGAGTCTTAAACATGTTATACAGTAATTCCCAAGCAGGGACTTGTGTTGCTTCATTTGCCTCAGAACTCATTTGTCAGCCTGCTCTCTTTCTCGGGGGATAGGTTGATGAATTTATTGCTTTCATTTCCACTATTGATGGATGAAAAACTGGTTCTTCTTTCCAGAAAAAAAAAAAACCTGGTGGTAATTAGGCCTAAATACACTCCATGACAAATCTTAAAGCCACAGTGGAGGAAAAAAAAAAATGAAGAAAAAACAACCCAACCATCCGTGCTTTGGGATTAACAAATTGTGACCATATAAATATAGTCATCTGCAGTGATGAAAGTTAATTGACTGCAAAACAACCAGATGATAAGGCGCCAGATAGGGTTGTTTTTATGAAACAGGATATTCAAAAAGATGATCTGTCAGCTGCAGCGAGTAAATAATTATTTTTACATCGATTCTGTGTAGTCCCAGTATTTTAGGAAATAATTAAAAGGATGAACTTATCTGGGGTAAAAGACAGGTAGACAAATTTATAGCTCTGACTTGCAGAGAGGAAACTACGCCTCGTTCCTTATGATTTACATCACTTTCAGCCTGTATTCACCATAAGTTCCCATCTGTCATGTCTTTGCTCACACCAGCCCTGCCCTAGTTATGAAGAAAATGTAAAATGCTTGTGTATTTTTAATTGGCTGATGTTGTAACTTGTTTGCCCTGTTTGACCTGCATTGTGCTGCCAGCAGTCTAAATTAATTAACACGGCTTTGAAATTGATCTCAAAATGGAAGTCTAAGCATTTGCCGGGGAACGCTGCCGGCCACAGTTGTTAGCGCGTCTCGTTGTCTGTTACCGAATGAAATGTTGTTGTTGTTATTTTGTGGAAAGTTGCGGGTTTGTGCTGCTCAGCTAAAGATTGYTTTGTTAATGTTTGGTTGAGCTTGGTGTTATGGCATGCATGCCAATAATGTTTGCCAGGGCTGAGGGGAGCGAAGTAACCTTTGTAAAAGAAAAATCAAGGACATTTCCACTCTTTTTTTGTGCAGACCGTGCAAATCTGAGTGTTTGTGCCTGAGTAGTGGCAGACAGGCAGGAGGGGAGGGATCAGAGGGGCTCTTGTCGGTGCGATTGTGTGACTCTTACTGAAAGTGACACCTCATCAATTCCCTGCATATTCCTGGCACTAGCTCAGCATGCTTAATGCACTAATATCCCTCTTTTTATAGCCGAGGAATCTGAGCGTGCTGCTAGGTTGGCTGCTAATGTTCATCAGAGCAGTATCATAATTAGGGCTGCACCGATCAGTTGAAATAATCGATGACGTCGATTATGTRAATTTGTCGAYGCAGTTTTTTTTATTATCGATTCACTGTATTACATAACCACCACGTGAATGTTCATGCAGTTCCATTTCGGTACCTAAATGCATCATTGCGACTGTATTGGCATAAGAGTGGTGAGTTTTCCTTGCTTGTCCTGAACGCAGCATCGCGCAAGAGCGTAACGACGTCAGCAGCTGCTGCTTCAGTTCAGTCTGAAGCTTGAAAACAAGCCTCGCAGCTCCTGGAGTAAAATTTACTGAACAGACCGCCTCTGAATTATCTGGTGGATTAATTCTCTTGTGGACATGATGTTCGCCTGCTCAAAGTAAATAAAGTACCGCCACTTACTTTATTTCATTCGCCATTAAACAGAGACCGGTGTTAGGTCGAGCCTCGTTCCCCCCATCAGACGGTTCCCCCAGCGTCTCAAACAACAGAGGAGCTTCCCGACACACGTCTGACCTAAAGAGCACAAGCAGCCAACAAGTGTTGGACGTGTTTTGGATGTTCAAAACGTAGCTTAAATACCTTTGATTTATTTTAACTGCATCATCTTGCTTATTTGATTTAAACTTTTTTGCCTTCCATGGACCTCCATCACACAGTTTTCTAGTGGGGAAATGACATCAATAGAAATATGTGAAGCTGGATTTTGATTTGTGTAATAAGACAAAACAGTCTTGTTGTTTTCAACAGTTTTCACCTTCAAGAAATAAGTTACACAACTGATGTTACAATACAAAGAGTTGGATGTTGTCTTGATATTTGTTAGTTTTTATATATTGAGAAATATGTTAAATAAAAAATAGTAAATGTTTATTATAGTTTTTCCAGAGTGACTTGAATTTTGCATGATTTAGTTCATTTGTTAGATTGTTAACATCTTGCACTATATTTCTTTTACTTGAATTTTATATGCTTTGGTTGAGATTTTATGTTGATGTTAAATCTTTTAAGCTTTTTTTGTTAAAGAATTGACTCTAGAGTGCATATTTTGTGTCCATGAAAAAATTATTACAGAAAATATTAYAATATTAAAGAACTGTTCTTGTTAATTTGATGAAAACATTTTAAATATTCAGTGCACTCACATCAGAATAACTTTTAGATTTGTTGTTAGAATAATCGATTAATCGAAAAAATAATAGTTAGATTAATCAATTAGAAAATAATCGTTTGGTACAGCACTAATCATAATTATGATTTTTTTTCCCGTAGTGCTGTTTTTGTTTTGAGAACTCTCTCCACTGATGTCGTGGGTTTTTAGTCGTTCACAGATATGTTGGAAGCCCACGGGTTAAAATAACAGCATGAAATATTTAGAGCTGCTATAATTTATCAATTAATCCACGGGGAGAGATTAAGTGGGAGCGATTTTGGTGATTGATTTAATTGTGTAACTCATTTTTCAAGCTAAAAGGGAATTCCCTCGTTGCGTTTTTCAGACTATTGGAAGTGAAAAAAAATGCTTCTTGCATATTGAAATGTATTGAAACTTGATCAGTGAACACTCTGAACAATTTTCATTGTTGCTCTGGTTAATATTGACAACTTGTGTATTATTTATGTACATTTACACCTCCAGTGAATACCCAGTAAAGAATTCCTGACATGAGGAGGAAAAAAATTATTTAAATGTTGCACTTTTCATTGAAAAAATATTTTGAAAATTTTGATAATCCCTTCCTCCTGCTGCCTCTTTCTTTTATTTCAGTTGTACATCATTTGCTTCATGTTAAAAACCTGGGCTAATCTGATTTTCTTTGAAGACTCACACACTACTGTTTGAAGGAGACCGCGGTGTTGACGTTTCCACGTAGTTAAGTTGTAACAGAGCTTTTCATTTTTCATCCTTCTCGTGACTCCCCTGTGTAGTCTGATGAGCAGAAGGTGGCCAGGAATACATTTTGAGCATTTACCGGAAAATTAAATAAACCAATCGAATCAAAACACWGGGAAGAGAATTGAGGTTTAAAAGGCTGAATGGCACTCTCGTCAGTGAGTCATCAGAAGCACGCGAGATACGCATCTGCTGTAAGCCTTCGAATTATCACCAGGGCATGGTTACCTAGCAGGGCTCGAAAACAAATGTCACTTTAGAAAGAAATACAAAACAAGGGCACGTTTGAAAGACTGG